GAAGAGGAGGAGGAGGAGGGGCGATGAGGTGGAGGAGGAGGAGGAGGAGAGGAGGAGGAGGTGGGGGGGAGAGAAGGGAGGAGGGGAGGAGGAGGAGGAGGAAAGAGGCGAGAAGGAGGGAGGAGGAGTAAAACAAAAGGAAAAGGAAGGAGGGGGAGGAAGAGAGGAGAGAGGAGTAGGAGAGAGGATGTGGATGAGGTTTTGAGGAGGGTAAGAAGGGAGGGGAAGGAGGAGGAGGGAGGAGGCGGCGGAGGAGGAGGAGGCGGAGGAGGAGGAGGGGGGAGAAAGAGGGATGAGGAGGAGGGGAAAGGAGGATGAGGGGGGAAGGAGGAGGAGGAAGAAGGAGAAGAGGAGAAGGGGAGGACAATGAAAAGAAGAGGGGCAGGAGGATGAGGATGTGGGGAAGGGATAGGAGGAGGAGGAGGAGTCCGGATGGGATAACCTACCGTCGTCTTACGTCGTCCTGCTGCTTGTGACTTAAGGAGGGAATTGCGCTGTAAATTCTCTTCTGCGGGGGGGTGACGAGAGTGACCGCTTGTCGGTTGCTCTCTGTTCTTTGCTTGGTGCTTGCTGGCCTTCGGCGGTTATCTGCTGATGCGTTCTCGCTTGGCGTCGTCTTCGGTGTGCTGTTGTCGATGAGGGTTGCTGCTTCGGCGGTGGTGGGCGTGCGGAGGAAAGAAGCGAGGAATATAGTCCAGATACATGTGCTCATTGAACATTGGAAGGTGTGGAAGGCAGAAGGAGAATTCGATAGCAAATCATGGGAGACTGGTGTAACCTCGCAATGTTGTCTTTAGCTTCGTCTGGCGTCGGCTAGCGATAGGGAGTCGATGAGATATCGTCGATGTAGCGTCGATGTAGCGACGATGTAGCGCGACGATTTCGCAAGAGCCGGCAGTATGGTATGGGAGGTCCTACTGAGTTGCCGCCGAGAGAGAAGGCCCTCTCAGTAGGCTCGGAAGTCCTCCAGCCTCCTGGGAGGATTTCCAAGCCTTCCCTGAATACACAGGTTTCTCAGAAGGCGCGGGGGCTTTGAGAAGTCCCGCCGCCTTCTGAGAGGGCCTTCTTCTTCTCACTTTACCCCCGCATCCGGAGTCTGGAAAGACCGGGGAAGAAGATCGACAGCATAGCCTGTCTTTCTTGTACAGAGGGCCTGCTGACGGTGCCGTCGCGGGCGCTGCCCATTAGAGGCAGAAGGCTTCCTGTGCATGAGCGGCCGTTGTCGCATTTCGGCAGCATCTGCGGTTGGGCATCGTGACAACGCTTGCCCGACAAGGTTTGTCTGAGGGCTTGTGACTGGCATGTGTACACAACCTGGGTGTGTATGTGTGTGTGTGTGTCTTGTGTCCTCCTCCTGCACGCTGGCCAAGTCGCCTTTCGGTTGCCCAGAATCGCTTCCCGCTGGTGCAGTATACCTCTGCCTCGCCGCGAACGTAAAAAAGTGTGCTGTGTGCGTGTGCGTTTGTAATTGTGCGTGTGTGTGTGTCTAAGTGTGTGTGCATGTGCGTGCAAGGCCTGCGCTGGCCGCGATCCATGGTTGTGTGTTCTTCATAGAGCGACGTTCCCTTCGGGCCCGTGGGCTTGTTTCTTTGCAGCGGCGTTCCTGGGAGTTCCTCTGTCTTGTGTTTCTTTGAACTGGCGTTCCTCGGGGCTCTCTGGTTCGTCGATTCCGAGTTGCCAAGCAAAGCCACGCAATGTCATGCAACCGGGAGCAATGCAAAGCGTTTCCAAACAACGGCAAGCAATGCTGAGCAATGCCCAGCGAAGCAAAGCTCTGCCAAGCAATTACCATCAAGGCCAAGCCATGCCCAGCACTGTCAATTTATGCAAATGTATACCAAGACATGCAAAGACATGTCAAGTGATGCCAACCGATACCCAACAATGGTCTTCAGTTCTAGACAACGGAGAAAACATGCCAATCGATGCAGGTGTTGCGCCGTTTGATTCGATCGTCTACACACAAGCGTTCGTGGCCTTTCGCCAGAGTGATCTCTGGTGCATGGGCCACTTGCAGCCGCGCACCCAACGTCATCCTTGCCCAGGGTTGCTCTCGCGTGCATCCGATGAGGGCACCGTGCAGTCCAAACTCGACAAGGTGTCGGCCCTGCGGCTTGGAGCGTGCCGCTGCGCCCTCCTGTTACTTCTCCGCGCTCCTATGCCTGAGCCCTCTCGCGCTTTCGTGCCCCCTGTGGCCCAGGCGAAGGTCTTGGATGCTCCCGCGCGGTCTCGGGACCTCCCTCCTCCTCCTCCACCCTCCTCCTCCTCCACCTTCTCCCACCTCCCTCCTCCTCCTCCTTCCTCCTCCTCTCCCTCCTACTCCTCTCCTCCTCTCCTCCTCCTCTCTCCTCCTCCCCCTCCTCCTCCTCCCCTCCTCCTCCCTCCTTCCTCCTCCTCCTCCTCCTCCTTCCTCCGCCTCCTCCTCCTCCTCCTCCTCCTCCTCCTCCTCCTCCCTCCTCCTCCTCCTCCTCCTCCTCCTCCTCCTCCTCCTCCTCCCCATCCGCGCCTCCTCCGCCTCCTCCTCCTCCTCCTCCCCCTCCCCCTCTTGCTCCTCCTCCTCCTCCGCGCCCCCGGGCACCGCAGGCCTGGCCCTCGGGCCGGGGACGGGCACCTCGGCTGGCCCAGGCGTGCGCGCGCAGCCTCACATTACGGCCCTGTCAGGCGTAAGCCAGGAGGGGGAAAAACACACAGACACAATTCATCGTCGATTCCCCCGAAAATATGGGAAAATACGGGAAGGGGGGGGACGACAATGATCCAGAAAGTATGGGAAAATATGGAGAATCCTGTTATCTGTGTCTATCTATTTGCGTGTCCCAGGGCCCCTTCAGTAATGCTTGCGCGCGCCCCGGCAGGATCCTGGCCCAGGATCCAGGAGTCGCCTCCCTGCCAGGATCTCGCGGAGCCACCTGCGCGGCGCCAGAGAACGGGGTCGTCTGCGCGGACATTGGCGCGTATAGCTCCCCGCGTAGTGTCGCGCGTAAGCGCCCTCGTCTCCAGCGTAGCGTGCCGCTCCGGCGGCCTGCGTAAGCCGCCGTGCAAGGTCGCTTTGCCATCTAGCGTAAGACCCGTTTTTGAACGCCTGCGCAGAACCCTCGGTTACCCCCCTGCTTGCATCCCGACCAGGATCCAAGGCCTAGGTGGCGGCGGCGGCAGGGCAGGGGAAGCACCAACATGACCGCATTGCTAGAGTAGGCGTGTTGGGAGTTTACGCATCCGCGTTGACAGTGGAACGTTTACACACTGTGGGCCGGAAGTACAGGCAAGTTTCCCAAGGGCACCCTTGCGTCCTTAGATTTGTTCGGCAGTGCGCCGCTAGAACAGCTTCCACTGGGGCATCCAAGGACTGTCTAAGGCTCTTGCGTCCTTGCAGCGCGCCCTTACTGCAGCTTCTGACGGTACGCGGAACGGAGGTTTCGGGGCCCGCGGCGGGCTTGCTGGTGCGACGCGCGGATTCGGGAGCCGCCGTGGGCTTCTCCCGCGACCGCCGAGGGCAGACGCCTGCCACCCCGGATCCCCCTCAGGGCCGGACGCGGTGCGGGGACCCCGCGGAAGCGACCGCAGCGCTGCTCGCGCACCTCGGATGGCCGCCTGGAGCGCTACGTTCCGAAGCCCAGCCGCAAGGTGGCGGAGCGCATCGAGCGCGCCGTGGCACACCGGCTGCTGCTGCTGCGCGCCGAGGCGAGCCACCGCGGCACGGTGACGGCCGCGGTGCTGGGCCACACGGGGAACGTGTACGACGTCGTGCTGGGGCCGCGCGTGGACTGCACCTGCCCGGACTTCTCCAAGGCTCGGGGGGGGGCTCCCCTGAGGTCCTGGCTTCTTGCAGGTTGCTTTCCCGGCGGGCGTTTTCGCTGCACGTCGGGCCCCGGGACCCTCACAGATCGATCCGGCTCGACGCATGACGCCGAAACGTGGGGTCCGGGGCTGTGGGCGTGATTTTGCTGCGATGCCGCATTTTTTGGCAGCGTCGGATCTCAGGGTCAGAAAGGAGGGAGGTTGTACCGGTAGCCCTACCCCTCCGTCGTTGCCACGGCTGGGTTCGCCTCGGCATCTGGGTCAGAACGCAACCCAGGAGCGAAGCTGCCCTGATACGCCCGTTTTGAGACGCAACGCGTGCCCTGCTCAAAACGTCCGTTTTAGCACGCTGCGTGTTAGCTCAACGTGTTGGCCCACGCTTTGGCGAACGTATCGCGTCAGACCTACGTGTCCAGTCTACGTGCTGAACACCGTATCAATACGCTACGCGTTGCGCGTTGCGTATCGGGGCAGCTGAGCCAGGAGAGGTAGGTCGACGGGCTGGCGGTGAGGGTAGCCGTATGCTTCCCGAGAGCCGTGCACCACCGGCACGCCTCCGGTCGGGGCCCTGTTCTGCGCCCGGGCTCGGCGTGCGTGCTCTCTTGGCCCAGATGGCTCGCGCAGCAAGCGACGGGGCACTGTCTGGGCCAGGCCAGGACGAGGACGAGGAAAAAAGGGAGCAGGAGGAGGAGCAGGAGGAGGAAGAAGAGCAGAAGGTGGAGGAGGAGGAGGAGGAGGAGGAGGAGGAGGAGGAGGAGGAAGAGCAGGAGGGGGAGAAGGAGAAGGAGGAGGAGGAGGAGGAGGAGGAGCAGGAGGAAGAGCAGGAGGAGGAGCAGGAGCAGAAGGAAGGGCAGGAGGAGAACCACCCTGGGCTGATCTGCAGGGGCTCTGGTTTTTGTCCGGGCCGTGTCTTGGGCTCCAGGTCTGGGGGTCCCTTCGTGGATCTGGGGCCTGCCGAGGCTGGAGGAGCCGCCTGGTTCCCGAGTCTGCGCTCCTCACTGGTCAAGAGGGGAAGCAAGCTCACAGGCACAATTCGTCGCCGATCCCCGGGGAATATCGGAGAGTATGGGAAGTTGCGGGTATGCAGGAGGCCATGGGCAGTTCTGGGACTACTGTCCATCTATCTGCGCGTCCATGGGCCCCTCGGATTGGTTTGTGCCCTGTTCCAGGCGCGGTGTGCCTGCAAGCACCTGCTCTTCCTCATGCTGCGCGTCCTCCTGCTGCCCAAGGAGGACCCGCGGCTGTGGCAGCGCTCCCTGCTCCCGCAGGAGCTCGCCGACCTCCGCGATCGCCTCGCGCAGTGCCGCGGCCTTAGCCACGACGGGGGGGGCGTCTGGACATTCAGCTCCTCGCGTTGCGACGGAATCGCGAGGGGAGGTGTTCAGCAATTGTCGGTCTCTGGGGCCCCCAATTGTCTCCATGACCGTCCACCATGCGACTCGGGATTGGAAGTGTGAGCCAGTGTGGACCGCAAGCAGGAAGTTGTTGCACTGTGGATGTGCGAACTCTAAGTTGGTTGGGAACCAGTCCCGGGGAAACTGTCTAGACCTCCATGGGCCCCAGTTGCGACAAAATGACGAAGTCGGAGATCTGGGGGGCTCGCGTTGCGCGGCGCGAGTCGCGAGATCAGGTGGTCCAGTCGTGCTCCTTCCTTTCTCCTCCACGGTCACATCTTGCAGTTGATGACAGGCTCGATGATGAGAGTTTGATGTTAGCCTGCAGTGAATGTGGAAAGTGTTCGGAATGTCCGCTAAAGGGCCTCCACGAGCAGTGCAGTGTAGAGTTTCGTTGTAGTTTTGCCCGTGGAGCCTAGTCTCTAACTTTTTCCGTGGAGGCACTTCTAGGCCTCGAAGAAGAGCCCCGTGGTGTTCGGTGCCCCTATTCTCATGGAAAGGACGGCCCAAAGAAGGCTCCCCTAGTCAGGCGCTCGAGTCGCCAGACGCGCACTTGTACCTGTCCGAAACTGTACGATGGTCCTCCTCTCCTCCTCCTGCAACAGCCACTTGGACTGTCCAAAACAGCTACTCCGAATTCACGGTCCGTGCCACCTACAGAGAGAACGCCGTTGCTGTCGCTGCTGCCCGCCGCTCCCCGAGGCAGCCTCGCTGTCTCTTGGGTGGCGCGGGGCAGCGCGCGGCGTAGATGCGCAAATTGACGTTGCCCGCAAGGTGATGTTCGCTCCTCCTCCTCCTCTTCCTCCTCCTCCTCCTCCTCCTCCTCCTACTCATCCTCCTCGTCCTCCTCCCCCTTGAAGCTTCGGGATATGCCCCCAGCCGGCACCCCTGAGAAGTCTGGGTCTGCGACACAATCAAATCGCAGGGGGTTTTGCTTGTCGCGCGCGCAGCTCCTTCGTAGGTGTTGACGTTGACCCCCTGATTCGGATGTCCTTGTCCTTTTCCTCCTCCTCCTACCTCCTCCTCCTCCCTCCTCCTCCCTCCCCTCCTCCTCCTCCTCCTCCTCCTCCTCCTCCTCCTCCTCCTCCCTTTCCTCTGCTCCTCCTCCCCTTCCTCCTCCTCCTCCTCCTCCTCCTCCTCCTCCTCCTCCTCCTCCTCCTCCTCCTCCTCCTCCTCCTCCTCCTCCTCCTCCTCCTGCTCTCCCTCCTCCCTTCCCTCCTCCTCTCCCTCCTCTCTCCAGCCGAGCCCTCCCCCCGCCCTGCGCAGTCGCTGGACCTGTCGGGCCTCGGGCACCGACCACCCTGCGGGAGGCCGTCCCCCCGACCGCGTCTCTCCAGGCAGGCTCTCCTGCCCTCGTCTCGTCTGGGCCTGCGTCGCCGCCCACCAAACCACCCCAGCCCAACCCGAAGGGAAGGCTCTGATTGACCCTCGATTTCCTCTTGGGGGGGGGGTCGGGAAACATCGACAAAAACACATGTAGAACGCTTATCCCCCCCTTCAGCCCGAAATTCTGGTCTTGGGGGTGGGTTGGGGTGGTCTGGCAGGTAGCACCTGCGGGAGACGAGCCACGGAGAGGAGGCACACTGTCAGACCATCCCCAGAAGCCTGGGACATGCTTTGGACATGCTTCTCAAGTGGTGCTGCACATGAAAGCCTGCCTCGAACCTTTTGCAAACACATGCAGAGGGCATCTCGAAGGCCTGTTGAACTCAACAACAGGCTGGTTAGAGTGCCCATGGTCCTGGCATCCACCAGCCCGACGCATGCAGGAGGCATCTCGAAGACATGCTGAACTCAACCACAGGCTGGTTATAGAGTGCCCAATGATCTTGGCACCCACCAGCCCAGGTCACCCGCGCGCGGGCGCGAAGACAGTCGCGCCCCGCGCGCCGCGGTCTCGGCCCGGGGGGCTGCCCTTCGGCGATGGGGGCGGCGCGCGGGCGCGAGTGTGCTCGAAGGGCGTCGCGCGTCGCGCACCGCGAGGCGCGGCGCGAGAGGCCTGCTGGGGTCCACAGGAGGAGGAGGAGGAGGAGGAGGAGGAGGAGGAGGAGGAAGAGGAGGAGGAGGAGGAGCAGGAGCAGGACGAGGAGGAGAAGCAGGACGAGGAGGAGCAGGAGGAGGAGGAGAAGGAGGAGGAGGAGGAGGAGGAGCGGGCGCGGCCAGGGCCCGTCGTCTGCAGCGAGAGGGGGGAGTGAGTGCACGGCACACGCCGGTCGTGGAAAGCTGGTGTTTTTTTCTAGGAGGCAAACAAGCCGACCTCGCTTTGGGCCGCCCTCGCTTCCAAGAGATGCCAAGCGATGCCGAGCGACGGCCTGTACTGGTCAGGCCGCTTGACGGGGAGGCGTGGTGTGACTCGGTTTTGCCTGGAAGCGAAAGCGGGGTAGGTAATTCACGTTCTGATTTTGGGATTCCCAGATCCCAGTCTACTTCAAGCGCCTTCCCACTTCAAGGATCGGCTTGCTGTTGCTGTGTTGCGTTATTCTCTGGGAGGGCCTGGAGCCAATCTACTTTATCCGCCTTCCTACTTCATGTTTTTACCTACTTCTTCCGACCGACGTGCACTGGTGCCAGCTGTGACGGTCCACGGCGCGATGTTAGTTCAGACTCCCCTTTGTTGGCGGCCTTCCTTGGGCCGTCTGGGAGTCCCTTTGCGCCGTCTCGGGGCCCGCATGGGTCGTCTCGTAGCTCCGTTAGGGGTCTATGGAGGGTTCAGGTGGTCGTCTTAGGGTGGTCTTGGGGGCCTATTCGCAATGGAAGCCCGACAAGGCGAGAGCGCTAAAAGAAGTTTTAACATGTCGGGGAATATACAGCTCTTGCTTCTTGGGGTCAGCCCTTGCGCCCTCTTATTCCGTAATGGGGCCGTCTTTGGCGTCGTGATGATCTCTTCGACCGTCGTCGGGGCCTCTTGGGACTCCCATGGCCTGTCTTGGGGCCCTCTGGCCTCTGGAAACGCACGCGATGACGCGAAATGGCCGCAATGGACGCGCGAACCCCGCCTGGAAATCGGGCAGTCGGGCTTCCTGGCCCCATGAAGCAAAATGTTCCATAGTGGTGGTGATCCGTCCGGACTCCTGAGCCCACGGAGGCCGAAGACTCTCAAAAACCGCCTGCTCCAATTTTTGCTGGAGGGTCGGCTTCAGGGAAGGTGCCGCGCTGCGAACGCGGCGGCACGAGGCAGGGATTTCCGAAGGAAACCACGTCGACTGGTCGTCCGTGGGAGTTGCCTCGGGCAACCCAGCCTCCGTGTTTGCGCCAGCTGGGCCGCCCATGACTGGACCAGGCTTCGCGGCCGACTCAACGGGGAGGAGGAGGGGAGGACTGGAGGGAGGAGGCGGAGGAGGAGGGGAGGGGGAGGAGGAGGAGGAGGAAGGAGGAGGATGAGGAGGCGGAGGAGAAGAAGAAGAGGAGGAGGAGGAGGTGGAGGAAGAGGAGGAGGAGGAGGAGGAGGTGGAGGAGAAGAGGAAGATGAGGAGGAGGAGGAGGAGGAAGAAGAGGAGGAGGAGGAACAAGAGGAAGAGGAGGAGGAGGAGGAGGAGGAGGAGGAGGAGGAGGAGGAGGAGGGGGAGGAGGTGGAGGAGGAGGGTCGGGGCGCGGCGCTCAGGCCTTGCCGCGCCGGAGCTGGGGGAGGTGCGGGCACCCAGCGAGCTGCTGTCGGCGCTGGACGCCGCCGGTCACGGCGGCCTGTGCGTGCGGCGCCGCCTCGGCGAGGAGCCGTGCCCCGTCTGCTTCGACCCCGTCGGGGCGCGCGCGGAGGCCGCGTACTGCGCGCGCTGCGGCCGGAACGTGCACCGCGGCTGCCTCGCGCAGTGGTGGGCGGCCGACGCCGCGCAGGGCGCCGTCGGCGCCGCTCCGAGCGGGAGGCCTCCCCGGCGCGCAGCTGCCTGCCTGGGGCCGGTCCCCCCTTGCAGGGTCCAGGCAGACAGCGCAGCAGCGATTTGGGTCCGGACCCTTCGGCGCACGGCGAGCTGGGGCCCGGCCCCTCGGCGATGGCGCCCCGGGGAGTGCCGCGCTGGCCCAGCAACGGCCAGGGAGCGCGGCGCCAGCAGGAGCCACCGACGGGGTCCTCGCGGCTTGCCGCATGAGTCCCCAGAGGTGTGCCCGGGGGGGGGGGGGCGGGGGGCACATGGAGCTGGAGAAAGTGGCTGGGACCAGCCACTCCTCTTTCCAGCCCTGGCCGGCTCCCTTCCGGTCCTTCCAGCCGTGGCGACCCCATTCTGGCTCTCTCGGGCTCGCTTCGGTCCCTGCCACTTCCCCTCGTGATGGGCCCATTGTCCACCACCACTACCGTAGGCAGGACGGGGGAGAACGGAGGGAGGGGAGATCCTCCTCCTCCTCCTCCTCCTCCTCCTCCTCCTCCTCCTCCTCCTCCTCCTCCTCTTCCTCCTCCTCCTCTTCCCTCTCCTACCTATGGTAGTGGTGGTGGACAATCAGCCCATCACCTTCGGCCCTGGCCATTTCCACGCCCATCGGGTTTCGAGCTCCCACGCTGTGCAGCTCCTCTGCAGACGGCGGGGGGGCCCAGGCCCCCGACGCCGTGCTTACTTCTTTCCGCGGCGTGGGCGCCGCCGAGCTCCTAGAGGCCCCCTGGGGGTGCACCGCTTCGCCGCGAGCGCCCAGCCTCCCCGGGGAGAGGGCCCTATGGAGGGGCCTCCCTGGATGCCCAAGGAGGGCCGGGGATGCCCGAGGTGCAAGGAAGATACGGGCACGGCCGGAACCGATACAGCCGGGCGCGAATGGAGCGATCAAGGGGCGGGGGGGGGGGGGAAGGGTGCTTCTCGGGCCTTTCAACAAGCCCCTCCTGGTGCCCCAGAGGGCCCGTTCAGGGGCCCTAGCAAGGGCCCCTCCTCCGCAGCCCCGCGCTGCCCCCTCCACTTTTCGCTCCCCACTATATAAGTCGCGCCCAACACGGGAAGAGTGGGGACGGGACGACGACCAACAGCAGATCTTGTCCATCTTGCACACGCGTCGTTGACTCGGTGTCGCCACCGACGTCGTCCACTCGAGGCTGAAAGTCTCGGCGCGGCCGCCCGCGGCCGCCCTCGACGTTTGCCGCTGAGCGCTTCAGAGTCCGTTCCGTATGCCGAACGGGGGCGGGCAAGTAACAGCAAAAAGTTGCGTAGACCCTGAGACCCCGGCCTTGCAACTTTTTCCGAGCCGGGCGTTTTCCACCCCGCTTCGGGCCTTATAGGGCCCTCGCAGATCGCAACGGCTCGAACCATGACGAGGAGAGATTGTGTCTAGAGCTCCGGGCGTGACGTCTGACGATGTTGCACTTTCGCTGCGTCGGATCTCAGGAAGCATACGTTGGGATCTTGTGTCGGCGCTGGACCCCCCTCCCTCGCGGCGCGAAGCGCGCCCGCCAGGGGGGGGGCGGCGAGGTTCATCGCATCGGGTCAAGCAGTGACGAAGCGTCCTGGCTCGCCTATAGCCCTACCAAACAATGTTCTAAAAACCTTTTGACGTTCCCACGAAATGTTCTTAGAACATTTCTGGCTGTGACTGTCTTGTTTTAACACATCAGGTTTATGCTCTAAGAACATTGCTTTTGTTCTTAGCACATTTTCGGGTTCTGAGAACATGTCGTGGTATGACTATAGGACTGCTGGGGCGGTCGGTCCCTGCTCAATCGGGTTCTCGGGGGTAGGGGGGGAGCAGGGATCCATGGACCAGATCGGGGCGCGCCGTGGGGGGGCCTCCGGGCCAGCTCCAGCGCCGGCCCGCCCGCGCCGGAGGGCCCCGGCAGCCGCGGGCGGTGCCCCGCCTGCCGCGCCGCCTGGGCCGAGGGGGCGGGCGGCCGGGCGCCTGGGCAGAACCTGCCGCGCGGCGTGAACCTGGCCGAGCACTCGGAGGCCCACAGGACCATGCGCGGTCCGATGCTCCAGACCTCCTCCTCCTCCTCCGCCTCCTCCCTCTCCTCCTCCTCCTCCTCCTCCTCCTCCTCCGCCTCCTCCTCCGCCTCCTCCTCCTCCTCCTCCTCCTCCTCCTCCTCCTCCTCCTCCTCCTCCTCCTCCTCCTCCTCCCCCTCCTAACGGGGTCGTCTGCGCCGACGCCGGCGCGTGAGTTGCTCACGTATGCGGTTGCGCGTGAGCGCCCTCGTCTCCATAGTGGCGTGCGGCGCAGGCGGCCCGCGCAAGCCGCCGCGCAATGTCGCTGTGCCAACTCGCGTGGGACCCGTTTTTGATCGCCGCTCACTTTGCGATGGAAGAGCACGCAGGGCATCGAAGCACGCACGGGGAGTGGACGTCCGAGCGATGGCAAGGCTCCAGGACGGTTGACCTGAACGGTTTTTGGGCGATTTCGTTGGCCGTACTTGTTGCGACTGCGTTCTGCAGCGAAAAGAGAGCGAGGAAAGACGAGACCAACACGACAACGAAAAGAAACACTGTTTTGGTCGAGCCCTGGGATATGGACCTCCCACCTAGACTCGGCCAGGGAACTGGGCCTGGGGGATGTCTCTGGGCCTGGGGCCTGGAGGGTGTCTCTGGTGGTAGTGTCTTGGCGCCCTCTGCGTATCACGCTCCGCTGAGATCGGGGAAACGTAAGACTCGGGCAGGCTGGAGCCCGGGCTTGCCGACGCTTCTTTGACGAGCGCGTCCTCCTGGGTTTTGACGGTCACGTTTTTTCGTGGGGCGCTTGCGGCGGGAGTTCGCGCCACATTTCTGGAGGGGGGTTCGTCATGTCCAGGATGGCCCCGTCAGACCAACCCGAGTCCCCCGAGCCCGAGTCTTGCTTCTCCTTGACAGGAGAGCAGCCTCAGACCCAGACCCCCTCGAGCCATGGCGCAAGCACGACGGGAGATGTTCCGCTATCTCTTCGGCCGCTCGGGGCCCTCGCCGGGCCTCGGGACCGTCGAAGGTCAGCTCGGGATGGGAACCAGGCCCCGGGGGAAGGGTGCGAGACCGCTGGGAGCCGACGCCACGAAACAAAAACATGCTGGCCGGGGGTGCGGATGGCTCTTCCGCGAAACGAGGGGGGCAGGTCCTGCCTCCGACAGCCTTCCGTGGGGAGGTGTGCCCGCGCTCCCGCCGGACCGCGTGCTGCCTGCGCTTCCAGGGGGGCCCATGTGGCACAAGCGGGAGAGCGTGACGAGCGAGACGAGGTGAGCAGTTCCAGCCGCTTGCAGCGATGCCGGGGAGCAGTGCGCCTCGTTGTCCCCCCAGGGAGGTCTTCAGAGGCGAGGACTGTTCTACATCCTTGCTGACGAAGCTCCCGCATCTTGTGGATGTGTAGTGGTGGTAGGAAAGCAGAGGGGAGGGGAGGGGAGGGTTAGGGATAACGGGATGGGTTAGGGTGGGGAAGGGTCGAGGTGGCAAGTCGTACGGGGAGGAAAGACGACAACTCATCGGAAGGTTGGCCAGGCCAGAAGCAATTCAATGTGCAGCCAAGCAGTTTTCTCCCACATGCACTGCTTGCATTCCGTGGTACGTGGAAGTCTCAGGAATCGCTCCTCGCTGCCAAGTGTTGCTTCGTTCGGATTTGCCCTGCTGGTCCTGACCGACCTTGGCCGCCCGAGGGCTGCCTTGCTCGGCTCCGCCAGGTGCTTCCGCTGCACAACCCCAGGGATTCCAGTGAATCGCCGCTTCCCTGAGGCTTTCTCTTCGCCCCCACTGGAGATTGCGAAGGCCTTGGGGCCAGCGCCGCCGACCCTGAAGGACGACGACGACGACGACGACGACGACGGCGACGACGGCCACGACGACGACGACGGCGACGACGACGACGACGACGACGACGACGGCGACGGCTGCGACGGCGACGACGACGACGGCGATGACGACGGCGGCGGCGACGACGACGACGACGACGACGGCGGCGACGACGGCGGCGGCGACGACGACGACGGCGGCTGCGGCGGCGGCGGCGACGATGTGAGGCTTTCTCGTCACCCCAAAGGAGATCAGGGGCGAACCTAAACGGTGTTCTGGCGAGTTCGAGTGCCGTCTTCGTTTCGATTCCGTTTTTGTAGCGCAGGCGGAGTGGAGACGAAGCGCGGGAAACCGAACAGAGTACAATAATGAAAAACATTGTCGAGGTCCACCCCTGATGGAGATCTTTCAATGCTCTCTAAGATTACCAGCCTCGAACAGATCCCTATCCCTAAGACTGACACGCCAAAAGGCGATGACAATCTTAGGGATTCGCCTTCAAAATTCGCCTGACGAAAGACCCAACCCTCGGTGGCGCCCCCGGGCCACGAAACGAGTGAGGGGTGTGCCGAAATGGGGGGGTGGAGCCGCATGCGAGCGCAGCCACTGGGGCCTTCGGTGGAGCTCCCTATGGGGCCACGAAGCGTGTGAGGGGTATGCCAGAATGAGGGGTGGAACCGCATGCGGGCGCAGCCACTGGGGCCTTCGGTGGAGCTCCCTATGGGGCCACGAAACGTGTGAGGGGTGTGCCAGAATGGGGGGTGGAACCGCATGCGGCGCAGCCACTGGGGCCTTCGGTGGAGCTCCCTATGGGGCCACGAAACGTGTGAGGGGTGTGCCAGAATGGGGGGTGGAACCGCATGCGGGCGCAGCCACTGGGGCCTTCGGTGGAGCTCCCTATGGGGCCACGAAACGTGTGAGGGGTGTGCCAGAATGGGGGTGGAACCGCATGCGGGCGCAGCCACTGGGGCCTTCGGTGGAGCTCCCTATGGGGCCACGAAACGTGTGAGGGGTGTGCCAGAATGGGGGGTGGAACCGCATGCGGGCGCAGCCACTGGGGCCTTCGGTGGAGCTCCCTATGGGGCCACGAAACGTGTGAGGGGTGTGCCAGAATGGGGGGTGGAACCGCATGCGGGCGCAGCCACTGGGGCCTTCGGTGGAGCTCCCTATGGGGCCACGAAACGTGTGAGGGGTGTGCCAGAATGGGGGTGGAACCGCATGCGGGCGCAGCCACTGGGGCCTTCGGTGGAGCTCCCTATGGGGCCACGAAACGTGTGAGGGGTGTGCCAGAATGGGGGGTGGAACCGCATGCGGGCGCAGCCACTGGGGCCTTCGGTGGAGCTCCCTATGGGGCCACGAAACGTGTGAGGGGTGTGCCAGAATGGGGGTGGAACCGCATGCGGGCGCAGCCACTGGGGCCTTCGGTGGAGCTCCCTATGGGGCCACGAAACGTGTGAGGGGTGTGCCAGAATGGGGGGTGGAACCGCATGCGGGCGCAGCCACTGGGGCCTTCGGTGGAGCTCCCTATGGGGCCACGAAACGTGTGAGGGGTGTGCCAGAATGGGGGTGGAACCGCATGCGGGCGCAGCCACTGGGGCCTTCGGTGGAGCTCCCTATGGGGCCACGAAACGTGTGAGGGGTGTGCCAGAATGGGTGTGGGAGGGGGAGGAGGGGGGAGGAAGGGGAGGAGGAGGAGAGGAGGAGGAGAACGCGGGGCGACGTCTCTTCAAAACGAAGACCCAACACCACAGAATGGTTGGGGAAAATAAGGGAACCCCTAAGATTGGCATCGTGATGAGGAGGTGCCCAGCATAGGGATAGGGATATGTTCCAGGCTGGTAATAAGAGGCGGGCCCTCTGGGCCGCGGACGGCCCATGCCGGAGCGGAGTCCTCACGGCCACAAGAGCTCGGGCGGAGCGCGCCGCTCCGCCGGTGCTGGCCCACCACGCTTTTCGACGCGCCGAGAGAGCTCATGCCTGCGCTCACGTGCACTGTGCTGGCATCGCTTGGACGTGTGCCTTTTTTTCTCGGCGAGAACCATCGAGGACCATCCTGGGCCATCGACAAAAAAACGCACGAAACCAACAAATGCACGGGAAATGGACGTCCGAGCGACGGCAAGCTGTGCGTGTGGGAAGGGGATCGGCCCTGAGGTCCGACGCTGGAAAAAATTGCAGCCTCGCAGCAAAAATATCACGCCCAGAGCCCCGGACCGCATCTTCCTGCGCCATCTTTCGAGCCGGATCGACCGATCGAGGCTCCCGGGGCCCGAAATCGAGCGAGAAGACCCCCGCTGCGAAGAAAAATCGCAACGCCTGCGTCATTTTTCGAGCCGGATCGATCTGTGAGGGTCCCGGGGCCCGAAATCGAGCGAACACCCCCGCTGCGAAATCAACAGCAACGCCAGGATCGCAGGGGCGATGCAGGAGCGGGGCAGGGTGCGATGACAGCACGGCCGCAGGAGGGCCTGGAGCCTGGAGGAGTCCTACCCCGAGACGCACAGGCCGGGCGCACGGATAATGAGCCTCGCTCGCCACGCCGCCCCATAGGAGCGCGGAGACTGTTCTCAAGTCGGGCCTGTCCCCCTACAGGGGGATTTTAGACGAAAATTAAAAATACCCTAGAAATAATCCAATTACTCCGACGGTAGGACCCCGCATGAAAATCTGTTTAGCTTACCCTTTGCCCTTTCCTCCTCCCCCTGGCGGACACCCTCTCCTCTCGCCCCCTGCACTGCCCTCTCTTCCCCCTTTTATTTCTCTTCCTCCTACTCTTTCTTCTCCTCCTCCTCCTCCTCCTCCTCCTCCTCCTCCTCCTCCTCCTCCTCCTCCTCCTCCTCTTCCTCCTCCTCCTCCTCCTCCTCCTCCTCTCGCGCCACCTCCTCCTCGTCGTCGGCCTCCCCCATGCCCCTTCCCTCCTCATCCCCCTGCCTTTTCTCCATGTGCACCTCCCCTTCCCCCTCGTCGGGGCAAGCAAATCCATTTTCCTCAGCGCCGTCGCCGCCTCGGCCAGCGCGCGCGCGTCTGCCGACGGCTAGATCGCGAAGCCGTCGGGACAAACCTTCGGGCTGGGCCGTAGGCTCTCGCTCGAGACTTCCTCCATATTCAAGTCTCAAGAGCCCAAAAGTGACGACAGTTGCACGTTGCGGATGACCCGCTCGGATTCGAACATGAAGTGCGGGCCCCATAGGGGGGGGGCTCCCGCCTGAGACTTCCTCGCAATTCACTCACAGACGAGGCTCCCGCTCGAGACTTCCTCCATATTCAGGTCTCAAGAGCCCAGAAGTGACGACAGTTGCACGTTGCGGACGACCCGCTCGGATTCGAACATGAAGTGCGGGCCCCATAGGGAGGGGGCTCCCGCCTGAGACTTCCTCACAATTCACTCACAGACGAGGCTCCCGCCTGATACTTCCTCCATATTCAGGCCTCAAGAGCCCAAAAGTGACGACAGTTACACGTTGCGGATGACCCGCTCGGATTCAAACATGAAGTGCGGGCCCCATAGGGAGGGGGCTCCCGCTTGAGACTTCCTCGCAATTCACTCACAGACGAGGCTCCCGCTCGAGACTTCCTCCATATTCAGATCTCAAGAGCCCAAAGTGACGACAGTTACACGTTGCGGATGACCCGCTCGGATTCAAACATGAAGTGCGGGCCCCATAGGGAGGGGGCTCCCGCCTGAGACTTCCTCACAAATTCACTCACAGACGAGGCTCCCGCTCGAGACCTCCTCCATATTCAGGTCTCAAGAGCCCAAAAGTGACGACAGTTGCACGTTGCGGATGACCCGCTCGGATTCGAACATGAAGTGCGGGCCCCATAGGGAGGGGGCTCCCGCCTGAGACTTCCTCGCAAGTCACTCACAGACGAGGCTCCCGCTCGAGACCTCCTCCATATTCAGGTCCCAAGAGCCCAGAAGTGACGACAGTTGCACGTTGCGGATGACCTTCTCGGATTCGAACATGAAGTGCGGGCCCCATAGGGAGGGGGCTCCCGCCTGAGACTTCCTTACAACTCACTCACAGACGAGGCTCCCGCCTGATACTTCCTCCATATTCAGGCCCCAAGAGCCCAAAAGTAACGACAGTTGCACGTTGCGGATAACCTGCTCAGATTCGAACATGAAATGCGGGCCCCATAGGGAGGGGGTTCCCGCCTGAGACTTCCTCGCAATTCACTCACAGACGAGGCTCCCGTTCGAGACTTCTTCCATATTCAGATCTCAAGAGCCCAAACGTGACGACAGTTGCACGTTGCGGATGACCCGCTCGGATTCGAACATGAAGTGCGGGCCCCATAGGGAGGGGGCTCCCGCTTGAGACTTCCTCACAATTCACTCACAGACGAGGCTCCCGCTCGAGACGTCCTCCATATTCAGGCCTCAAGTCAGCGAGTAGTGATGATGATGATGATGATGATGATGATGATGATGATGATGATCGTTCGATGCCGAT